TAAGAAACATACCAGATGAGCCACCATTAGCATCTATATCTACTTTGTGTTTAAAAAATCAACTGGTAATTCTGAAACACTGTAGAATGGATAAAAATTATTTTGTGATCATAACTCTTTGTTGAACTAGAGTATTTTTGCAGCATTCCTTGTCATCAGAAACATGATTAAAGTTTAAAACTAGAAGCAGCAGAAAACTAACTTGTAAAATTTATCCAAGTAGAGTGCAGGCTAGGCTGTCTTGGGGAAATAAACATTAAAACTTAAAGCAATGTTAAAAAAGAAAAAAAACGGGCACAAACAGACACTTCACTAAAGAAGGCATTCAGATGGCCAACAAACCTTTGAAGAAATGCTCAAGATCATTAGCCATTTGTTAAGTGCCATCCAGTTGGTTCTGACTCACAGCGATTCTGTATAGGGTTTCTGAGGAGTGGCTGGTGAGTCTGAATCACCGACCTTAATTGTTCAAACCCACCTTGCAATCCAGTGCTTTATTCTACAGCACCATAGAAGGATGCAAATCAAAACAACAATGAGATATTATCTTGCTCCAGCATTGGTAACAAAGTTCAAGAAAAGAGAAAGCAAGAATTGCTGGGGAGGGTGTGGATAGACTGGAACCCACCTACACTGCTGGTAGGACTGTAAATGGTGCAACCACTGTGGAAAATGGTGTAGCGCTTCAAAAATGTTGGGAATAGAAATACCATATGATCCAGCAATTCCTCCACCTGATACAGATCCTCAAGAAATGAGAGCCATGACATGAGTAGATATAAGCACACCCGTGTTCATTGCAAGGAGCTCTGATAGCATAGTGGTTATGAGTCAGCCTACTAACCTCAAGGTCAGCAGTTCGAAACTACCAGCCATTCCATGGGAGAAAGGTGAGTCTTTCTGCTCCTGTAAAAATTTATAGCCTCAGAAACACTATACAGGGTCGCTATGAGTCAGAACCGACTCCAAGGCACACAGCCACCACCACGTTTACTTCAGCACTATTCACAATAGCAAAAGATGGAGACAGCCCAAATGCCCATCAGCAAAAAAAATGATTAAACAAACTTTGGTACATATACCAGGGGGTATTATGCAATGTTGAAGAATAATAAAGAATCTGCAAAACCCCTCACAACATGGATGAACCTGGAGGACATTCTGCTGAGTGAAATTAGTCAATCACAAAAAGACAAGTACTGCCTGAGACCACTGTTGTCAAAGGAGCCCTGTAGGTGCTGTAGGAAAAGTACTGCCCTGCTGACTGGAAGATCGGTGGTTCAAACCCACCTGCTGCTCCTTGGAAACCCTATACAGGTCAGAACTGGCTTGACGGCACTTAACAACAAACTGTTGTAAAAAGTTAGACGATTTTCTTGCTAAATGAAACTTTCTATAATGGTTACAGGACCGGTGGAGGGGAGGGGAAAAAAATAAAGTGACTAGAGGTAAACACTGTGAACTGATGGTACATAGAGGGGATTGCAATCATTGTAAGGACACGAAGTCTATACTTTGTTAAATGTAGGACTGATGATGTTTTCTGTAAACCTTCACTGAATTCATACTCCAAAGTTGAAAAATTACAAAGGACAAGTATTGTATGACACCATTGTTGTGAAAAGTTAAAAGGTTTTCTTTCAACAAGAAGCATTCTGTGATGGTAACCAGGGTGAGAGAGAAGGAAAAGTTATTCACGGGATAGAGGTGGTTGTTGTTGAGTGCCGTTGAGTTGATATAGGTAGACACATATTAACTTCAGTAACGGAGAGAGGTCGACACAGAAAAGATGAAGGTAGCAGGAGACACAGGGAGGAATGCAAGAGTTAAAAGTGAATAGAGGTAAATGCTGTTAACTGATGGGAAATGGAAGGAAATGTAATCATTGTAATGACCAAAGTGTAGGATTTGTTGATTGTGGGGCTGATAATCTGTGCTTGAGTTGGGTTACAGATCTTTAACAAGGTTCCTTCCTCCTCTCTGGGATGCTTCTCTCTTCTTCTAAAAAAAAAAAAACCTTTTTGATCTTAGCTGTTTATAAACAAACTCTTTGTCAACTTCAAGACAACAAGCTGAACAATCCCCTTTGTGGCCATCAAGTCACTCAATTTGCATACTAAACTGACCAATCCCTTTAAAGTACATGAAACAGACCAGTAATGGGGCAGATTACAGCACAGGGCTAGACAAAAAGTATCAAACCATCAAGTTGTTTATAGTTTACTCAGAAAATGTAAATCAACCAGGACAAAAGTAGCACACATCCTCTACTGGAAACAGTAGAGGAAAATAATCTGGATTAGGGAAGAACTCTCCCAAACTGGTTTTACAGAAACAAAAACAAATGAAAAATGAGGGAAAAGGCACATAAAAGAAGGCATTTCTTACTTCTGAGTACAGGGCACTTGGTTTGCTCAAAGGCTGTTCATCTGCCCAGAAGGAGCCGGACTAGGGTCAAATGAGGGCCAAGGTCAAGCCTGATTAGGGCTAGGGACAGTAGAATGGTCACATAAATGATGCTGTGGTGTGGTATGCTTGTCATCTTTCAGGGCCCTCGGTCCCTGGGTACTCGGACAACTATTTTTACCTAAAGAGAAGAAGCAATTTAATAAAGAATAGTCTGTAAACAGAAGACGTTGGAACAGTTGGCTATCCATATGAAAAAACAATAACCTAAGAGTCTAAACCTCATATCTATGCTAAGAGAAAAAAGGAAACAACGAAAGAAAGAAAGAAAAAAAAAAAACCCACAAAAGAAATTATAGATACCAAAATGGAAAACATACAACTATAATAGTTTTAGAGGAAAACCCAAGAAAAAAGTTCTATGTGATCTGGAGTTAGAGAGGGTTCTTAAATCTGACACAAAAAGCACAAGAGATGAAACTCGCCATCCTGGATTCTAAGGAGCATTCTGACTGTACTTCTTCCAACACAGGTCCATCATTATTTTAATATTCTTCCCCAACACCATAAGTCAAATGCATCAATTCTTCTATGGTCTTTCTTATTCATTGTCCAACTTTTATATGCATAAGAGACTACCAAAAATACCACCATACCTTGGGTCAGGCTCAACTGTTTCCAAGTAATTTAAATTTTCATCACTTTTCTTTCTTCCAAACATGGAGAGACCAGTACTTGCCCCTTAGATAGCTGCTCACGAGCTTCTAAGACCCCAGTTGTTACTCATCAAAGTAGAATGTAGAACATTTTCTTTGTTGGCCTTGATATTCCCTGAGGCTATGATCCTTAGCCCACAAGTTCAGCCACGCATTTCCTCAAGGTGTATAGTTCCAGCTAAGACGTTTTCATAACTTTGGTCCCTTTATGATCTACTGTGGAACCATGGTGTGGCACTGTGGGAGAAAGTACTGGACCACAAGGTTAGTTTGAAACCACAAGGCTGGCAATTCAGACTCACCAGCCACTCCTTGGGAACTATGAGTCGGAACCAACTCAATGGCACTTAACCACAACAACATGGTCTACTGTATTCACGGATGTTTTTGTCAGGGTGGTGATGATAGTCACCCTTACCTGCTTCTGATTTTCATTCCTGTTTGTGTTGTTTTCTTGGGTTTCAGGGTCTGTTACTTCCTCTACAGTATGGCTGATTTAAATAGCTGCCAACTCCCTTAGGTTTAAAGTGAGACATTGAGTCAAGTTTTAGGTTCCATTAGTTTTTCTTTTATCAGCATGCCCAGAGGATAAGAGGGATTTACCAACCAGTCTATTCGGATTTCATGAAGTAAACTGCCTTGAAATGATCCTTTATCATTTTTTGGAAAACAGATGTCAGCGTCAATAAAATAATAGCTGGGTAACACATTACTAAATCAGAATTACCCATCTGTTTACTCAAAGAATGCATGTGTTCCATGTTTATTTTACATCATGCCCTCCACCTCCAGGTATTTTCATATGTGTACTGTTTTGTGTTGTTTTTTTAAAATAGCAACATATAAAAAATTTGCATAGTGTTCTTACAGAAATGAAGGGGGAATACAATTGATCAAAAATATAGAATGTGAGTGTTATTTGGTAGGCCTTTCAGAGATTAAAAATGACTTTCAGTGTCTGATGTCCAGCTCGATAGACTTGAGATCTTTTTTGTTGTTGCTAGAAAAGACTTTTGCAAGTACAGTTTATGATGCAAAGTATCTGCTTTTTTGTAGCTGCAAGAAAAGGTGACTCCTGTTTTCTCAGAAATTTCTACCTACTTATTTTGTTTTCGGAACAACCTATGAGGTAGGTACACTACCTATTCTTAACCTCATTGTACAGATGACAACAGCGAGGCACAGAGAGAGGTTTCAGCTGTTACCCTAAAGGTTGACACTTCAAATCTACCCACTTGTGCCGCAGAGGAAAGGCCTGGCCATCTGGTTTCTGAGAACTAACAGCCCCTGTGAAGACGTTGTCCTCTGTAACCCCCGGGGTCACCATGACTTGGAACCAACTCGATGGCAGCAGGCTGGCTTTCTTGGTGCTGAGCTTACATGGAGATGAAAAATATCAATTCTAGGCTCTAAACCCAGGCAGCTGGCTTTGGAGCCCACTTTTTATGAACCCCTGGTGTTACGCGGGCCCCGTGTGCTACCATCCCAGGACCACCATACTAACTAAGGATATGGCACTGGTTGTGCAGGTGGTCTGTTGCCCTGTGGCCACAGGCTGGCAGGCCTGGCAGCAGCTAGAGTCTACTCCACACTCGGCTTACCAAACGGAATCCACCGTGTCTGCTTGCAAGTAGGGGCACCCTGGATTGTGTGACTGCTGTAGTCTGCAGATACGGTGTGTGCCTGAGAGCTCAGAGGAAGAGCTGTCTCCCGCTCCAGCAGGGTTACTGAAGGCTTGTGAATTTGGCAATCATTAAAACACAGTGATCGAACCCAACCTTGGGGAGAGAGGGGATCCAGGGAGAGGGAGAGGCTTCTTTGTCTTTCCCAGTTATGCCTTCTCAGGACCCTGACCTTCCCTGGAGGGAGAAGGAGAAAATGACCATGTTTCAGGTGAGTAAGACATTCCTTTCTGTTTTATGAAAATGTGATTGTATGTCTCTCTGTCTCGTCCTTGGGGATCGCTAATGGAAGACAACAGATCTTGAGTGCCTGTCATGTGCCAGACATGCATGTGTGTGTGTGTGTGTGTGTTGTTTGTTGTATTTTAGCATCTTTCTTGTCCACTCATCTCTGATCAGTTCTGAATCATCGCAAACCTACAGGACTGAGCAGAACTGTTCCCTAGGGTTTCTGAGGCTGTAAATCTTGACCGGAGTTCACAGCTACGCTTTCTCCCATGCAGCGGCTGGTGGATTTGAACTGCAAACAGCTTCTACCCAAAGCACTGGCAGTTCAAACCCACTTAGTGGTTTCATGGAAGACAGTCCTGACAATGTGCATCCGTAAAGTTTACAGACGAGAAAACTCGATGGAGCACTTCTACTCCAGCTCTTGGGGTCACCCCGAGTCAGGAAGGGCTCCATGACAATAGATTTGTTGGTTTGTTTTAAAGTACATACACAGGTCCCGAAAGTCCTTTGCATCTGACTTTACGTTATTCTTAAACACACTGAGAGAAGGCAGGCTCGTCCTCTGCATTTTAAACATGAAGAAATAGTTTACATACAACTCTTCTCCCAGGGATACATCAGACTCTGAAGCCTTTGACAATTTCATTGTAGTTGTTAGTTGCCATGGAATCGGGCTCAGGCTCCTGGCAGCCTTATGTATAACAGAAGGAAACACTGCCTTGTGCAAGAGTTAACAGAATAGAGGCAAATACTGTTAATAACGGTACAGGAAGGGGTTTGCAATTATTGTAGTAAAGCAAGGTATGTGATGTGTTGAATGTAAAAGTGCTGATCTGCTCTGTGTTTTGTTTTTAAGTTTTTATTGTGAATTGATTGAAAGTTTACAGGGCAGATCAT